GCGGTTTCTCACCTACCTTGACGAGTTTCTTTGCATCTCCGTGCATTGCATTCTTGTTCACCAATCCATTTCGGGCGTGATCCATGGGCTATCCTGCTATTTGCGATTCTTCTCACACCTATGAATTCGTATTTGAACCCTATTGTCCATGACATTCATTTTTGGAATGCGTCTTTGAATACTGAGCTTCAGCTGAGCTGACTGCATTACGAGCGTGCCGTCCGCTGCGACTTATAGTCTTGTTCGCTACGGATGAGATGGGGTGTGTCAGCACGGCTGCGTTTGGCGCCTCGCCAAACTGTTCTTCTTTTTTGCTTTTAGCAAGCATAAGACTGTATCATGTTGTTCGTAACAGTGGTTTTACACCCGTTGTTGACACTGATGCACTTCAACGACTGGTTGAGAAAGGGTTTGGTAGCGCGCCAATCGTAGCCGACCGCACGCCCCATCATGCTCAGCGAACCAGACCATATAGCAACCTACCACTCATTTGTGACGAGGACGATATTATTTGTTTCTGTGGGACGGATAGTTCCAGGTGGTCCCTCTGTCTCTGGTGAATCAGACAGACAGCACTCTCTCGGAATTGATGGAAGTTCTGGAGAGAAGCGTATTCGAGCCTCATCGCGAGATTTCATCGAGGTAATGAATTTTTGTTCGTTTTACCTTCAAGAGAGTATCTTGTAAACCTATAAGATGAGGGCATGTCGTAAGTGGGAATCCCCTGCGAGGGGTTCGTATTTGGTTGCTGAAGGGAGGATGTTCGTACTTGCCTCTCTGGCCAAGGCTTTTTGTTGATGACTTTTCTCGGTTTTTCCTGTTTCAGGTGCACTATACACCCCATTCCCCCACCGCACTCCCCAGTCCACTCAGCGGCAACAGTTTTTTTTTGGGGGGGGGGGATTTTAGTTTTCTCCGGAAAAGCTGTGGAAGGTTGGAGAGAGTTTAGAGAATTCCGGAAGAGTTGCGAGTGTGGAGAGTAAGCGGTACTCTGGTGGCCGGCGCTAGTCGGTTGCCACTTAACCCATCGTCGTCGTTACCTCCCCTCCAGCCATGGATTTCCCATGCTCGCAAAGCATGAACGCGGCCTGGTTTGCAACAGGTGATCACATAAAACGACTTCTTAAACAAGTAATTCATTCCAGGCATCTCACGTACAATAAGTCTACCGTAATGTTTGTAATGCGTATTGTGAATAACGATGACAATGTTCAATTCAAAAAATAATCTCCCTATTAGGTGCCTTCAAGAAGTTTAGCCATTTTTTCATGATAGACTCGCGTTACAATTGGATCCATCAATCACCGTCTTCTAAGCTGAGTTCTTTGTTTTTGGGGACTGCATCCATACAGTTTTGGTGACCTAGACATGCGTAATTGAAAAAGAAATGTGGGTTAAAAGTTTCAAAGCCGCAAACCTCTTTGAGCTTATCTTGAACGGCTTTCACAGCTTGAGAGTACAGTTTGTTCTTCAGATCTATGAGCTGCGGTTCTTTCGCGGCTTTAACTTCTGCTTTAGCAAAATCCATTTCTATACGTAGATTATCCAGTTCTAAAAATAGCTTACTTTCAAATTTGGATATTTTGGTAACCCCCGATGGATCGAGACCCGGTACCGCCGCCGCGCCGAACTTAGTCCATTCACACACCCCAAGCATACGCCATCGAACAGGAAGTTTAGAGATTATCCCGCGAAAATTCGCGATGGGCGGAGAACTTCGTGTCTTTTGGCGTCTCCCCCTTCATGGCGCATTTCTGTTTCGCATTGTATGAGGGGAGAGAGAGCGTAGGGTAACGAAAGAAACAGAATTGATTTTAGGGTCTCAGCCTATTCGACTGTCGGTGTTTCGGGAGAATGCGGGTGCAGAGGCTCAATAGTATTTATCTAACCTGTTCGTTGAATTCCGACTATCCAAGCTGATATGCGACAAATGTGCGGATGTTGTGCAGTGCTCGCCTGGCCCGGCGAATGTACTCTCGATGTTCAACAGCTTGCTTTTCATATAAGGAGACTTGAGTTTTGAAATTCTGAAATCTTACTATTTTTCGTCACTAGTAATCCCAGGGAGGGGCATTTAAAGGCACGGTCAGCGATCAGGTATCGTGTATGGGCCGTCAGTGGATGTTAGAGTCGTCCGCGACGAACAACTTTGTACTGGTTTGGCGGCAGAAAATCTAAGGGCGGGGTGCTATAGCGCAATATAGGTCCGGTGGTTCCTCCTGTTTCGCAGTGATTCTGCCTCCCAATGCGGCTTTACACGTGAAAAAACGACGCCGGGATCGCAGGGAAGAAGCGATGAATTTCGTCATTATGCGCACTGTAGAGCTCTTTAGGGGGTAATCAGCTGTGCCTGTCGAGGGGTGGATGGGCAGAAGAGAGGCGGCACGCGGCAACGAGTCTGGAGATAGGTTAATGGAGCGGCGTACCGAAAGTGGGAATTAAATGAAGGGTCTATCTAGGGGTTGGCATGTTTTTGTACTTTTTTTCACTCATAACTCAACCCTCTTCTCTATATTGAGCCTAATGCACTATCTGGGATGACGAATAATTGGCGGGTTCTGCCTTTAAAGGACTCCTTGTACAAAGCTGGGGCCTGCCTGCAATGGAGGTGAGGATTTTCACCCAAGCCTAAAGGGAGGAGCCTTGGATTGGAGCGAACAATTCCAAAAACCGTATTCTGTTCGGATGAACATTGTTTTTGCAAGAGACGTCCTTTGAATGTCCCCACTCCAAGGTTATTAGCTTCATTTTTTATGTCGAAATTTTGAGATTCATTGCGTTTTTCACTCACCTTGTAATCTTCAAATGCATTACCGCTTTTTAAGCACGCTGTTACCAACTCGTATGGATCTTGATTTGGAGGAGGCGCTAAGCTCATTTGTTGGTCCTGCAATGGTAGTTAGACGTGCTTCTATGAACTAGTTGCCTGTAGTGCCTACACTAACGAACCACTTTACGAAATACTGGATTCCTTTGGATAACTTGGCAGACAGCATCATTGAGACCATCGAGACACAGCTGGAATAAGGCAAAGGATAATTCGCTGCAATTCGCAATGCAAAGCTTTCCGCAAGAATGTTGAGGTATGACTCTGAGTGAGGCGGGGCTCGAACGTGGACCTTGTGCTCTTGGGGTGCCACCAAGAGTACACCAAGAGTTCGCTACTGATGAGGGGGTGTATCAGGAGGGTGGATTAGGCGAGGCGCCACCGGTTTTTTTTCTTTCGGTAAGCCACAAGCCTGTATCATATCGTTCGTATTGGTCGTTTTCTACGGCCTTTCTTTTCTTCTTTCTTTTTTTTCTGTCGAATACTCGTCTAAGCGACTGGTGAAGAACGGTCCGGCGGCGCGCCAAACTCAGTCTCTCTGACACGCCCCTTCATCCGCAGCGAATTAGACTGTAATGCCCACCATGTAGTCACTTTCGAAAACGGTCGGTGCAATGCTGGAGTCCACCACCCATCATCTGTTCGAGGCACAGTCGGGGCGTGCAGCATCACTTGGCCACACCTCGGGGTCTCTTCCTTCTACCGAGAACTAGGCGCAGAGCGCAGACGATCAGAGTCGTCAACATGTGGTCTCGCAGAGAGGTCATGGTCATACTCCTCTGAGGGACTACGCGTAAGTGCAGACTATGGTTTGGAGGATGGTCACACAGGCGCTGCCGAGCGGGCAATCCATGCAATAACGTTCGCGTCCTGTTTGGACACTACGTCGCTGTGATTCATGTTTTTCATGTTCATGTTTTTTCTATGAATCTACCCCCTGCTTATCGTCAGGAACGCTAGGATCCCACGCATGTCAATCCGACGGTCTGTGGAAATACAAGGATCAAGACGAGTATCTGAAAATATCTAGTGTGTTCAATCACCCCGTCACATTGCGGTGTGCTCCAGGAGCAACGTGTCTTTCTGCCCTTTCCACCGTGGCCTGCATAGGAAAGACAGTATGAGGAAGGAAGGCATAAGAAGTGATATGGAGAATCTGGGATTCACCTTGTAGTTGTCCAATTGCTCAAAAGCATCACTAAGCTCTTTTGAGAATTCCGTTCGTTCAACCATCCCGATGTTCTCTTTGACTCGATGAACAAACTTTCGTAGTGCTCGTTTGTTATCGCATTGGCTCTGAATTGTTCTATTTTAGGGTCACATTTTGTGGATCCTATTGAGGCTTTAGCACATGTACTTATAGCCACGATCCCTGCAAATGATAGTGCGTGTAACGGGGCGGGAGTTGGATCGCAGCCACAAGAACCCTTTCCGCCAATCGTTGCAGACCCAGGATGACATCACTGATGGAAACGTCACCCGCAGTGCCCGCTAATCCACGCCCCTCACAGCCTATGTTTGCACAGGACTGTACATTTGTCGTCTACGTTTCGTCGCTGAAGAGGATCTCTACGGATGTTACTATTAGAGCGGCAATAGTGGACAGTGGCTGGGTGTGTGATAGAGAGGGCAAAGCGTATGCTTGAGAATAGGGAGGGCCGTGCCGTCACTTCATCCAAAACGTGGCGGTAGGGTTCTGGTGGGATGTTGCCGCTTGGGACAATTGTAAACATGATTCTGTCAAGCAAGAGACAGGCTGACGGTTGTCTCCAATGGGTGTTCTGCGAGAAAACGTATCTTACGCAGTGCTCAAACGAAGTACATGGCCACGCTCCTCATTCGGTGTAGAGCGTGTAGACAGCTATCACACGAATCCTGAGTTAGTTTGGCAAAAGTCGTGTCCCAAGGCGGGAGTTCGAAACCCGCACTAACGCTTCCCTAGCGAGCTTGCGACTATCCGTTTACGCCACGGCATTAGCGCACTCGCCCGGTAATAGCGTTAGGGCTGCGGTGCGCCTTCGCTCAATGGGCAACTGGCTTTTCGCCCACAACTTAGCATTCTTGTGATAACATCCGGGGCGCGACTGGCGTTAAACAAGCAGTCGTCATGGAATAAACAGTGGCAGACAGCGCTTGTATGAACGAGAGCGCGAGGCGATAAGCACATACCTTGGTTCCTCTTATTGTTATTCTTGTCGTTGCGTCGAAGCGACATCTGCTCTACTCCTTCCACCTAACAGAGTTTAAGTCCAGTACTAGACCATTCTTCCTTTCTAGTGCCGGCAGTTTTATGCTTCACCGGTGAAGTGATGGGTTCATGTCTTTGAACACTGTATAAGGCTGCGTTCCTCTTTGCGGAGCGTCCAGCGTACGCCAGCGGCGTCCACCAGCGTTTCGAGGGCCAGGAAAGAACAGCTATCGATCTAGCGTCTGCCAGCGTGCGCCAGCGTCTAGCAGTGTCCGAGAAAGGATAGTATGGCGCGATAGGATGGTAGCAGGTATCTGGCAGAGTATGGGGAAATAGGTAGGCAGCAGACTGCTGGCAGAGCATGGTGCGATAGGAGGGCACCAGCTAGTTGCTACCCTCCTATTGCGCCATAGTCTCCTCCCGGACGCTGGTAGACTCGGGTGCACGCTGTCAGACGGTAGATCGATACCCATACTTCCCAGCCCCTCGAGACGCTAATACGCTAACTCGAGACGCTAACGGACGCTGGTAGACGGTGGTGAACGCTGCCGCAAAGTATGAACGCCACCCAAGCGACTACATCTTCGCCTCAAAGGCTGGCTCCACGATCTCGAGGTGGGGTGCTGGGTTTGAGTATGAATCCTGACTTGTCTAATGACTCGCCAGTAAAGAGAAAAGCAGGGTAATCGTTGAACGCGGCCGAAATGAGGTCCTCCACTTAGCAGTTCACTCTGGATATTGAACTAACGGCGAAGAAGCAGTGAACAATTCAATCAGAGGCTAGACGATGAGGAATGAGGGAGAGGTCGCTTTTTCTGCGTGGCATTTGCACTGGGCGTTTTCCTCCCTAAGGGACGTGGAGAAGGTTATGCTACATTTTTGGCTGGGGAACTCTCTAGCTGTCAATCTTTCGCTTGGAATTAGTCAGGGATTGATGTGTAGCGTTACTTTCGTTGTATCAGAGTATGGCATCACGAAACAAGCTCACGTTAGCTCTTCTGTTTACTACACCCTGTCCGCCAGTTGTGAATCCGGGGCACATTTGTGACAGTCTGAAATAAGTGAGGTAGGAAACTGTTGCCACTCAGGTGTAAATTAGAAGGAATGAATGAGAATAGTTCCAGGGCCTGAAGGCGCGCTCCACCTCCTTTTGATATTTGGACGTCTTATCTGGATAAAATACGTGACGTGTCCGTAAGAACAAAGGATGCACCTTTTCCGCTGCTCAAACCCTCAAACGTGAGGAATGCTGAAACTGCCCGCTCGCGGCAAAGCCTCGGCTCCGCCCATTGGCCGTGGCAACGCCCAACATTTCCTTCAAAGCTTGCTAGTGGTGGGGTTGCTCCGCTGCTAGCTCTCTTCATTCCGAATGGTGATAGTGAGGTGATGATTAGAGGTGGCATCAACAAGTGAAACTCGTCCGAACACGTCCATTCTTCGCCTTGTGCACGCACAAGCTCAGTTTCCCATTGGGGTCTATATGAATCACTGGTTCTTTCTGCCTTTTTCTTTTCTTATGAAATGTGCTGCTCAAATAATTCGCCTTCTTGTCATAATTATTTGAGCAGCACATTTCACCAAGTTGAACACGGGGCGTGCCTTTCACTCTTCGTGCTAGAATAAATGGGCGAGTCTTAAGCAGTGCAATGGGGTCACGTACACAGTCCCTACGTTCTTCTTACGCAGTTTCAAGGGACAAAAGTTGCACATTTTGAGCGGCTGCGGACCTGCCCACCTTACGAGCAGGAAGAGCTTCATATCGCAGGTAATCGCAGAAAAAAAACCGTCAAGGGACCCTTTTTAGTTTCGGGCTATGCCCCCTGCAGGCTCTTTTGGAATGTCAAACCGTAGAGCTACTTTATGTCCCTCGAAATGCTCAGGGATTTTGCGCGTCTCTAATCGATAAGCGCCGTGTATGCTGACGGCTCGGTCTGAACTCTGGAAGCGGTTGTTTCAAAATATACCGGGGTCATAGTGAAGGCTGTATCTCTGGTTTGACATGTCACAAGTTCTGAGGCAGCGTTCAAACTTCGCGATGACGCGCATCGCGCTGGTAAACGCGCAGCGGCTGCGTTCGCGTCTGTGATATTGGGGCGCCCTCGCGGCAGTAACGCGTCGTCGCGCGTCGACGCGCAGTCCAAAGGCTGCCTAATGGGTCATAGAGTGTCCCGTTCTGGTATTTTTCATAACAACACCACTCGCTGTCACCATAGCGCGAAATCGCTTCGATTACGAGGCGCTGGGTTAAGATGATATCTGTGAGTGCTGTAGATCATGCTTCTGCAATTTTGCGTTATTAATAGCTAAATACTCACTGCTTGTTCAACGATGACGTTGAGTGAAGGCCCCTTTTCGAGTGTTCCAGTGATCTCACAGGGTCCTGAATCACAACCCTTGCCTTTGAAGCTGTGGTTCTATCTAAAAGGCTCACCGATCTGCTTTTTGAGCTGTTGCGAAGCTTAGTTGCCATGGTTAGGGAAACGGTTAATCTGAAACCAAACATAAGCATTGCGTAGTAGACCAATGATGATAGAACCCACCGAGTAGTAATACGCCAGAATACAGAATGTGCCTCACCATACTCATAGCCTGACACTGGGAATCATTTGGTGTTATCATACTGGATATATCGAGGGGCAGCTGTATAATCACCCGATATGAAGATGATCACTGAAGAAAGGGGCGAGTGGGACAGGGCAAGAGAATCATAAATTGCCGCTTCGTCGCGCGCGGCAATGGGCGCGACGTTTCCTCAAGTTGCACTACCCTTTCGATTGGAGCATCGGATCTCATGTAGACAATGATATGTAGTCAAATTTGCCCGTTTTCCGTCATACAGTGTCTATTCTCGATCATTACCACCTGAAGTCGTCGCACGCGACGCCCACTAGCGCGGTACGACTCTCTTGCCATATACTCTGGGCGACTAGTATTGATAAGTGGTGAGGTTGTCTAGCAAGGGGAACCTGACAGCAATTGATTGTGGACCCGAGTTTTTTTAAGGAGCGGTCCTCGATCAGGTACAGTCCTCATCATTGCGGACCGGTGGGGCGTGTCAGCCAGAAGGAGTGCGCACACTGTTGAAGCCGTTCTCAGCCTTTTTTGTTGCAACGCGTATGCGACAAAAAGTGGTAGAAAACGAGTAATACGAAGGATATAATACAGTAATG